ATGAGTGCCGCAACCCCAGAGTCGGTCATGACTGGACCTAATGGTCAGGGGTCCCTTTACCTTTACCTTTAACCATTTAAATAAACCCAGCCTTAAATAACCCCAGTTAGATAATTAAGAAACTGCCTTGTACAAAGTCAGGCCACTGGTATACCTAACTCAGTATAGTCTACATTGGCTGTAGCATCTCCCAGGGTTTGAGATAGGAGTCCTTTTCCTAGCACTCCCTAGGGATGATAGGGATTGATCCTGGGAGCTTTGGCATGCAAAGCAGATGTTCTACAACTGAGCTACAGCCCTTTCCTCAAGAAAAAGCTGGAATGTGTGCAGAGGAGGGCAACCAAGATGATCAAGGGTCTGGAAAGCAAGCTTTATGAAGAATGGTTGACGGAGCTGGGCATGTTTAGCTTGGAAAAGAGGAGAATGAGATATGACAGCCCTCTTCAAATATCTCAAGGGTTTTCACATGGAAGAGGGCACAAACTTGTTTTTCTCTTGCTCTTGAGGGTAGGACTTCAACCAATGGCTTCAAGTTAAAATAAAGTAGATTCCAACTAAACATTAGGAAGTACTTTCTGACAGTAGGAGCTGTTTGACTGTGAAACAGTCTCACACAGGAGGTCGTGGACTCTCCTTCCTTGGAGGTTTTGAAGCAGACGTTGGTTGGCCATCTGTCATGGATGCTTTAGGGGGTTGGACTAGATGACCATAGGGGTCTCTTCCAACTCTACAATTCTATGATTCTATGAAAAGGTAACTCAAAACAATACCAATTAAAACCTGCTTTATTTTAAAAAATATGCACTGCTGAGACAATTCTCATTTCAATGGAAATTGTATTCCATCATTTGGGAGAATCATAGAAAAGGCCTCACCTCTTTGGCCCATAAACCAATTTGACCTGAAGGATAATGGTACAGATATACCTCTGTAACAGCCTCCTTTGGGTGTAACTGTTTTTGTCTAAGGCAGGTACCTGCAGCCAACGAGATGTTATTGGACCACAGCTCTCATCAGCCCCAGACCAACAGTCATACTTGCTGGGACTGGTGGGTACTATATGTAGTTATTCAATAGCTGGAGGACCTCAGCTTTCAAATCCTTTGTCTAAGATCAGGGTCAGCCTTGATCTCAATTACATCAAAGCCCTAACCAAATCAATCTAAGTCCTATTGAAAGCAAGGTTAGGACTGCAGCCTCAGGCAAGTAAGATGGAGGTTGGGTAGGTGGTTCCAGGCTTGACCAGTTCTCACACAGGCTACAGTACACTTTCATATATTCTAAAGTTGCATCCCTAGCAAGCCAAGCACAAACATCCCATCTCTTTGTTCCAAGTGTTAGAATTACTAACTTGCAATGCTAAAGCAATAACTCCCTTGGAATCACCCCAAGGGAGGCAGTGGGGTAATCCAGGGAGGTGCTAAAAGGCAAGCGGGTAGCAGAGGGGCATTGGAGATGTAATTACCAGGTTGTAAAAAGCTGGTATCCCTGGATCAAGTTCATAAATGTAGTTGAATTAATTAAACTAAATAGTTTTAGTAGGATTTTGAAAGGCTGTTGTCTTGCCAAAGGCAAGGTGGTTCTTTTAAAATGCGATTCAGAAGCAATGCAAACTACAAAAGTGAGTGAGAAGATTAAAAGATTTTATCCTAAAACAGCAAGCAAGCACTTCAATCTGCCACTTGGAAGCCCTCAAGAAGCGGTGAAGTGACTCCTCCAGGTAGCCTCAGTTTGCACGGCTCTGCGGCCAATCAGTCCATGCACGAGCTTCAAAAAAACTCTGCCCCAACCATCCAATTTTATAGATAGCCACCACCTTCCATTGCCTAACTTCCTCAAAACAATGTCCAACATCAAAGAAGGGGCCCAGCGTTATCCTCCACAACTTATTAAGGCAGCTGGGGGGCAGGGCTTCACCTCCTCCCAATGTTCTCAGGACATTAAAGACTGTTCTCACACCATCAAAATACTTAACAAGAGCGAGGGAGGGGGAAGGAACAGAGGCAGGAAGGGCTCCGTGTCACATCACAAGCTCCTCAATACATTTTGTCTTCCAGATGCATTTTCCATACAGCTGTGTAATTAATAGTTACTGTTTTGAATTTTATCGTGTTGTTATCTTCCTTCATGTGTCATGAAAGCTGCTGTTCTGAAAAATGCTTGTCTAAGGGACTCAGCTACACTGGCAAAGAAAAAGCGCTTTATATGCGTTGTTTATGCACTCTAACACTGTGACACCAGATGGCGCTGGGGAGTCCTGTTTTTGCCAACCCAATTTCTCACGCAAAGTTTGCAACGGGTTTCACGGAAACACTTCTTTGATGTGTCTAGATCCAGCCTAAGTTAAGTGTGCGTGGCACTGTTCTGCAGTGGTTCCGGTCCAACTTGGACCTCCAGTAGGTGATGCTTGGGGAGTGCTCTTTGGCTCTGTGAGACCCATGAAGAATTTGATTTTATCCCTCATGCTGTTTAACATCCACATGAAACTGCTGAGTGGGGTTATCTGGAGTTTTGGCGTATATCGACAGCAGTGGCATCCTACCCATAGAGGGTAGTGGTGAGGGGTGCCAGGGCGTCATGTTCTGGAGGTCGCCAGGGAAGAGGCAGAGTCTGGACGTGGTGCCTCCCAGCATCAGCTCTCCGCCCTCTCCCGCCTCCGCCATGCTGTGCTGAAGCAGCGCTGCATCCAGAGCCTCTGCCTGCCATGCCCACCGTGGCATGAAGTGGCCAGCTGAGCCGGAAGGTGCCAAGTCCAGCCTCCACCTCTTCCCCACTGGAGGAGCTGCCCTCCAGCCGCTGCCCACCTCCTGCAGTGCCATCCTCCCTGAAAAAAGGTTGACAACTCTGGGGAATGGGGGCGGGGCACAGAGGGAGCCTTGCACCACGGCGCCGAATATGCTTAAGACAGCCCTGGTCATCAGCAATATGCTGATGGCACACAGCTCTACTTCTCTTTTATATCTCAAGGCTTGTCCGTGGATGTGCTGGGCAGTTTTCTTCCTTGGTAATGGACTGGATGAGAGCCAACAAACTGAAGCTCAGTCCAGATAAGACTGAGGTACAGTTAGTGGGTAGTCCGTAGACTGGATAGATGGGAGGTGGCCTGCTCTTGATGGGGTTACATAGCCCCTGAAGGAACAGACATGTAGCTTGGGGTGTCCTTCTGGTTCCTCTGCTGTCACTTGAGGTTCAGTTGGCCTCGGTGGCATGGAGTCCCTTCCATCAGATTTGGCTGGTGAGCCAGCTGTGCTCCTATCTGAACAGGGATAGCTTAACCCAGTGATGGCCAGACTTGGCCCTCCAGCTGTTTTGGGACTACAAATAATGTTTAACAGACTATTGTATTTTAATATTCTGTTGGAAGTAGCCCAGAGTGGCTGGGGAAACCCAGCCAGATGGGCGGGGTATAAATAAATTCTAATTCTAATTATTATTACTATTATTACTACTACTAGCTAACCTAGTGGTCAGGGATGATGGGAATGGTAGTCCCAAAGAGCTGGAGAACCAAGTTTGGCCATGATTGGCCTAACCTCTGTTGCCTCTACCACTAGGTTAGATCACTGCAATGCATTGTATGTGAAGCTGCCTCTGAAAACAGTTCAGAAACATCGGCTGGTGCAGAATTTGGTGGCTGGGTTGCTCACTGGGGCAGGACAGTTTGAGCATATAACACCAATCCTAGCCTGACTCCACTGACTGCTAATTAGCTTCCTGACCCAATAAAGCCTTAAATGGCTCAGGACTGCAATATCTCAAGGACCACCTCTGCCCATATGAACTGACCCAGTCCATGTGATCACCATCTGAGACCCTTCTTCAGGTACCTCCTCCATGAGAGGTCTGAAGGACAGCAACAAGAAAATGGTCATTTTCTTTTGTGGTTCTCTGTTTTTGGACTGCTCTCCCCAAGGAGGTTCAATAGATGCCTTCATTACATATCTTTAAGTGCCAGGCAAGAACATTCCTCTTCTCTCAGGCCTTTGGCAGCCTTCCCAGCATCTAAGACACCAGAGGTACTAGAACAATTGGTTAAATCATTTGAGACTAAAAAAAAACAGTGGTCAATTTTTATAGATATTTGGTGTCAGGAAATCAATTCGATATACAGAATCTAAGAAATGAATGGAATGTTCATTAAATGTTTCCTCAAATCCAGATTTGAAATTTCCCCCTATTGCTGAGCAGACCATCTTAAAACAACAGTGATGCTTCTCTCTGGATTTCTTGGTTCTATGCCTTATCAATATTCTCTGTTGGTAAGTAACCCCGTGATATCTCCTACACCTCCTCCAACATTCAAGGGTTCTGATGATATCTAGGTGGCAAGTTCTGGAAATACTTGCTGCACTGTTAACAGGATGGTGGGTGCTTGAACCAGTCCAAGAGGATATGTGTTATGTTCTTAAGGTTGTCACCCTGAACCTACTTACTTTTGAGTAAGTTGCATTGAACTGTATTGAAAGGAACTCATTTCTTGGTAGACGGATATAGGATTGTGCTGCCACATAAAAGGAAAACCAGAAAGCCAGTGCTATGATGCAGAAAAAGTTTTATTGGGAATTTCAAACAGTAAAAGTATTCAAGTGAATACTAAGCATACTGGAAGACAATAAAGCAAAAAAGAACACATTCCAGTGAACAGCTTCTCCTTTAGAATTATTTTTTTCAGGTTGGAGGTAGAGTAGAGGGTTCCACATTTATAGAACATTCTTTCCACCTTCCTTTACATTAAGTCCCAATTACACATATTTACACTTGCATGCTAATTTCATAGACATAGTGAATGGATCTTGTGCTTTTCTTCCCAATGCGAACTGGTGTGTTTCAAAGAGACGTAGGCAAATAAATACCATAGTAACAAGCAGGGGAAAGTGAGATAAAATTAAACTGGAAACAGCTGCATGTTCTAGATGGGCCTGATTACAAGGGATGCAGAACACTCTCCCAGCTGCCATTGGGACTGCCTAGGGAGTTTGTGCTCAGCATGTCTAAATCAGACCGAAATAGTCCACCACACATCTCTTTTTCTTTCCTCCTTGTTGACAGACCGTGAGAGCTTAGCAGGGGGTATAGCAGATGCTGCCTCTACGCCCCACATACCCATAACGGCCACGGCCCCCCAAAGCACCAGAGCTAGACCCCAGAAGACCTGCACCACCATAGAGACCTCTGCCAAATCCGCCGCCAAATCCGCCGCCAAATCCGGATCCATAACCACCAGGGAGCATGGAGCATATCCTCCCACAGCCACGGGCTCACAGCTGGCAGAGAGGATGGGTCCTGGGACGGTCACGATGGCGGCCGGAGGCTGGATGACGACCTCTGCTGGTGGGATCTGGTTGACGCATGAAGGCTGGACTCCAGAAAGAATACCAAGACTGGCAGAAGGGATGCCGGATCCAACCAGGGCACCGGAGCCATAGCCAGAACCATAGCCGAATCCACCGCCCAATCCACCGCCAAGGCCAAGGCCACCGCCAAAACCACAGCCGCCTGGTCCAAAACCAACGACTGGGGTGGAAGCACAAGATGGGACGGCGCAGGAAGGTCCACAGTTAGCCATGGTTGAGTCTGGAAAGACATAGGCAGGCACATATTATAGCAAAGAAACATTGTAATTCACAAGAGCAATGAAAATTATGGGTTGCATCCAACTACCAATCTGAGTCGACATGTCTATTGATTAAATGGGTCCACATGGAAAAACATGGAATACATGGAGAAACATGGAATACAGCCCTATGTATTCTCAGTGGCACAGTATATCAAGAGAGGGATATAGCAGACCATGTACTGAGCATCTTTATTTCCCCCCTGGTTAGATCTGAAGCTGGTGTTGCCAGTCTTTTGAGGCCACTAGGGACATTTTATTCTTGACAATTGTTCCCATGGAGTGAGGAGAGAAGTGGCGTATCAGAAATTGACTACCGTATCTGAAGAACCGGGAAAAGAGGCAGGGACGTAATTTTAGTTCAGCAACACCTGTGGACTCAAGGTTGAAACACTGGTGCAGGGAGTTCTGAGCTAGATGATCTAACAGCCAATACCATGATGGTTATGCTCTGCCTCACTAGTTACAGGCACCATGCTTCTGAATACCAGCTGCTGGAAACTTCAGAAGGGGAGAGTGCCATTTCATAGGGATCTTATGGATAGGCTTTCAACAGGCATCTGATTGGCCTATGTGGGAACAGGAGGATGCTGAACTAGATGGGCCTGATCCAACAGGCTCTTCTTAAAGCTTGCAACATATACAAGGTTCAGACTATTTATTGAGGCGTTTCAGTGAGGATAGTGGCGAAAACACGGCAAAGAATGGAGCTATACGCTATGCAAAAGCTTCATTAAGTTGTATTAACTGGTATATCATTGGCACATCCCCTACAATAGTCTAGGGTAGGAATGGAACCTAAGATGATGTCCCTGCTCCAGATGATCTACCATTGAGCTATAGCCCTCACTGAGGTTTCAGAAAGGGTGGCATTCCCATCCCTACTTGGAGATGCCAGGCATTCATCTGGGAACCTTCTGCCAGCACAGCAGATGCTCTGTCCCAGAGCTACAGCCCTTCCCTTAAGGATGACTTACCTGTCTCTTGGAGGAGCTGGATATGAATGAGAAGGTTTGTCAGGTGAAGCTGTAGAGAGAACCTGGGATGGCATGAGCTTTTATACCATTTTTCCAGAAGCAGTGCCAGTTAGGAAACGCCCCATGACGCTCAGAGGCTTTAATCAGCGGCAAACAAATTTCTTTTTATGCATCATGAGATCTCGTTAATGCTATTACTCACAGCATGCAAGGGAAATAATTAACAACTTGTCAGTGTTTTTTCTTCCCTTACAGAATGGCTTGTGGGCATTTCTGGTAGTTTTTTCCCCTCCCCCTCCCCCCGCCATCACCTGATCCTCCTGGGGAATGCTATGAAATGATTATGTATCTTCCTCAATCAACATTGGTGTCCCACCATTCCAGGTGTCATAGTTTAGTGGCAGAGCACCTGTTCTGCATTCAGAAGGTTGTCAGGTTCAATCCCTGGCATCTACGGGTAGGGATGGAAATGTCCATGCTGAAACCCTGGATAGTTGCTTCCGGTCAGTGTAGACCAAGGGTGGGGAAATCTCAGGCTCAGGGGCAAATGTAGCCATCTCAACCTCTCTATCTGGCTCTCAGAACTCTCCCTATTTGGTGCCACCTTCCAGCACCAATGCCAAGTACATCCTTTGAATACAGAAGCTCTCAGATTCAACCCCTAACTTTTCCAGCTAGGGCTGAGAGAAAGCACCATACAGAACCCTGAAGCAGCACTGCCAAGCAGCATAGACAATACTGAGATAGAACCAATGGCCTGACTAGAACCTAAGGGAGCACTTGATCTAAGGCAGTGGTACCTCTGGTTACGTACTTAATTCGTTCCGGAGGTCCGTTCTTAACCTGAAACTGTTTTTAACCTGAAGCACCACTTTAGCAAATGGGGCCTCCTGCTGCCGCCGCGCTGCCAGGAGCACAATTTCTGTTCTCATCCTGAAGCAAAGTTCTTAACCTGAAGCACCATTTCTGGGTTAGCGGAGTCTGTAACCTGAAGCGTATGTAACCTGAAGCGTATGTAACCCGAGGCACCGCTGTTATTCTATAAACATTTTTCTTTGAAACTTTGAGACTGTGGGAACAGTCTGCCTAAGGGCCCCTTGCTTGGCTGGCCTACCCAGACTGGTATTTGTGGCAGGAGGAGAGTAAAGACCCATTGACACACATGCAAATAAAACATACAAAAGTATAATTGAAATCATTGAAATAGTCTGGCTCCTCTCCAGCTCTATGCTTTATGTTTGCCTTAGAGTATTTGGCATGTGCCATTAAAGACATGGATACCTCTTGATATCCTTGCTGAAGTTCATTCAGATATAATACCCAGTGGATACCATTTTGAAGATATCAGCAATGCATTTTCTAGACGTAGAGGAACATAGCTTGGCTCCCAATGTAGAAAGGTGCTTTCTACCAAGACAGAACACTGAGGTCCATATAGCTTAGTGCTGATTACATTGACAGGCATCTCCAGGGTTTCAGACAGGTGACAATTCCCAGCCCTACCTGGGCATCTGAGGAACCTGGGACCTTCTCCATGCAAAGCATGGACTTGATCAGTGAGCTATAACGGAAGTCAGAAAGAGCATCCATCTTGACAATGTATCAGCATTGATGGAGCATAGGGGACAATAAAGGATTCTTGGCAACATCCCAGAATCCTCACAGCTGTGGAACGGGTATTATGTGGCAGCAACAGAGATGTATGATGGCAGGGAGATTATTGGTTTTTATTCAAATAAGTCTTAATCAGTATGTCAGTAGACATACTGACATAAGTGGACAAGGTACTCAGGGCCATCAGAGTAATCAATCAATTTCACTGGGTCTACCCTTGGTAAGTCTTCATGGGTTCTAGGGATAAGTGAAGCTATCTATTTCAGTCTCTCCTTTATCCAGTGTTAAGTTCTGTTATCCACATTTGTATATAAAGTTGTGAAATTATTATTATTATAGTAGTAGTAGTAGTAGTAGTAGTAGTAGTATTTATTAATTAACATCATCATCATTTAAAAAAGTGCCTTCAGGAAAATTCATCAGCATTGCTCTGAACTTACATACAATATACACAATTTTACAACAGCACTGCAAAATTCAGAGAAGTGCAAATTTCGGAGTATGCTTTGCTTATTGTTTCAGCAATGTAATTTAGGTAGGCTTCCCTTTGATTGTGATCTGTGCCATCCATAAAAGGGACTCATTTTTTAAAAAATAAATAATATATATAAAATAAAACAAACCCAATTTGCATTGTGTGTGTGGGAGACCTTGAGGGGGCACATCTACTGGGGGGCAAAGCCCACACACAAAATATCTTGCCTCTTCATTCATTTCCTTTTCTCACTCTCAGCAAAACAAAATCAAACCCAGACAATCCACGTGTTTGGGGGTGCCCTGGAGCTTAAACATGGTGACATACCTGCTGTTTAATTTGCTTGTTTCTGTCAAACTAATTTTGAGAGATCAGAACCCCGATTAAGGGAATGAGCACTCTAATTATACTGGTAAGAAACCTGTCCTGCCCAAAATGTAAAATGATTAATGTTAATTTCCCCAAATCGGTGCATCAGCAGCTTGTCTTGATGTGTTTGTGTGTGCGCGCATGTGTGAAAGAGAGAGAGAAGAGACAAGGGACAAAATGATGCTCTGTTGACTTGATCTTTATCACTTACAACTTAGCTGTCAAGGCAGCATCAAGTTAATGACAGAGTCTCCCTCTCTCCCTCCCTCTCTCTCTCTCTCTCTCTCTCTCTCTCAAGTCAGGAGAGAGTAGCCTGGAAGAAATAGTTTACCCAAGGTAACACTAAGCTACAACTCATCCAGCCGGCCTCTTTTACATCATTATGGTTCTCCAACCCCAGCATTCTCTTCACAAATGTAAGAAAAGGCCTGCTAGCTCAGACCAAAAGCCCATATAGCCCCATGGCATACCCTCCAACATTTCTCAGATGAACATTGGTACGTTCTATTCTACACCAGGAAGCTTCTCCCATGTTTGATCTCCCACCCAGATATGCGTCATATACACCTGCCACCTTGAGCCAATTACAACCTCTCTGCCAAATCTACCTCGCAAGATTGTTGAAAAGAAAAAATGTGTGAGTGAAGGAATCATGTGAAACACCTTCAACAGATAAACGGAACAGAATAAAATTGTAGCTGTGAGCTGCCTTGAAGAGAGTTTGGATTTGGATTTGATATCCTGCTTTATCACTACCTAAAGGAGTCTCAAAGCGGCTCACAATCTCCTTTCCCTTCCTCCTCCACAACAAACAATCTGTGAGGTGAGTGGGGCTGAGAGACCTCAGAGAAGTGTGACTGGCCCAAGGTCACCCAGCAGCTGCATGTGGAGGAGCAGGGAATCGAACCCAGTTCACCAGATTACGAGTCCACCACTCTTAACCAATACACCACACTGGCTCTTGAGTCCCTGTCAGGGGGGAAAAGAAACAACAAAAACAACAACAACAACAACAACAGAAACTTTGAGAATGATCAGGAACATACCAGAGAGAAATCCATTGAATTCAGAGGGACTTAGTTCTTTAATATATATATATATAATATATATATATATATATATATATATATATATATATATATATATATATATATATATTTATTATACAATACAGTCACTGGAAAGAAAAGACCATAGCATTAAGTTTATGGTGTTATTTTACATGATCTTAAAACGTTGGCAGTCCATATAGGTTCTCCACAGACAGGTTTGTGAGGCTGATGGAAGAGCTTTACTTACTTTTTCCTTTACAAATAAAAAAAGGGGAGATCAGGTTTCACCAAAGGTATTTCCCTTATAACACCATTTGCAACTCTTCTAAGCCCAGCAGTCATTCTGAACTAGCTATATCCCAAATATTATTGAACCATGTCTCAAGAGGTAGCTCCACCTGGGATTTCCAGTGATACGCTATCACTAAATGTGCGACAAGACGAATGCCTTGCAAGACGGAAAACCCGCTAGACGAAAGGGTTTTCCGTTTTTGAGTTGCTTCGCAAGACGATTTTCCCTATGGGCTTGCTTCGCAAGACGAAACGTCTTGCTAGTCTTGCGATTTTGCCCCCGCTTTCTCCCCCGTTTTTCAAAGCCGCTAAGCCGCTAATAGCCTTTTAGCAGCTAAGCCGCTAAGCCTTTAATAGCCGCTAAGCCGCTAAACTGCTAATAGCGCTAATCCACTTAGCCGCTAATAGGGTTGCTTCACAAGACGAAAAAACCGCTAGACGAAGAGAATCGCGGAACGGATTCTTTTCGTCTTGCGAGGCACCACTGTACTGGATAGTAGGGTTGGAATCCGGGATTAGGCTGCATCAACAGAAATATAGTGTCCTGATCAAGGGAAGTAATATTATCACTCTATTCCGCCTTGGAATACTATGTCCAGTTCTGGGTGCCACTATTTAAGATACATATTGACAAGCTGGAACGTGCGCAGAGGAGAGTGACCAAGATGACAGAGGTTCTGGAAACCAAGCCTTATGAGAAACGGTTAAAGGAGCTGGGTATGTTTAGTCTGGAAAAGAGGAGACTGAGGGAGTTATGATAGCCATCTTCAAATATCTCAAGGGCTGTCACATGGAAGATGGAGCAAGCTTGTTTTCTCCTGCTCTGGAGGGTAGGACTCGAACCAATGGATTGAAGTTACAAGAAAGGAGAGTTCTACTAAACATCAGAAAGAACTCTCTGACAGTAGGAGGCTGTGGACTCTCCTTCCTTGGAAGTTTTGAAGCAGAGGTTGGATGGCCATCTGTCATGGATGCTCTAGCTGAGATTGCTTGCCAATGGAAAGATGCGTCACACCACCATGTGTATGTGAGGGAGATCTCCCCTCCCTGCCTGGCAGCAAAGCAGGATGGCAGAATGCCTCTCCTCTCTCACTCAGCAGAAGGGGAGATGTTCCACAGAGTTTTGACACCAGTCCTTCTCTGCCTGTAGACTAGAGGCTGCGAAGACCAGTGGCAAAGCTGTGTGAGCTCTGCTTGTTTACATTGGATTGCATACACAAGAGACCCCTTTTCTGTGTAATTTTTGTTTGCTCCTTGTAGGAAGTATAATCTTGAGAATTGTGTAACTCACAAATTTGAAATATTTGTTAAGAAAAGTCAAGGAGGAATGATTAAGTCAAACCTGTGCAAACTTTAAGCTTGTCTTGCATTAAACCCTGGGAAAAAACATTCAGACAATTTGAATTAAATAAACTGAGCATTTTAACAAGCACACACTACAATTTTCTTTATGGGCAAATAATTACAAGCAGGGCAAAGCGGCTCAATTAATGCTGGAATGCAGGATTGCATGGGGTCATGGCACTTAACTTGCTTTGTTAGTTTCTTCTGATCTTGTCGACAATTTTGGAAAGCCAACAAGAATCCTCTAGCAGGAAACCCAAAGAGCCAACACCTGACACCAGCGGAAGGCATCAAAGCAGGGAGATGATCCTCTAGCCACAAGGTTGCTTCTGGGTTTTTCTCCTGTTAAGAATGCTGACTCTGGAATTACCCTGCGAGGTTCACACTATTCAGCTGACCAGGCATCACCAATGCCGGATTTACGTATAAGCTAAACAAGCTATAGCTTAGGGCCCCACTCTCTTGGGGCCCCCAAAAAAAATTAAAGGAGAAAACCTGGATGTACATTTCCAAAATATAAGGGGAGAAAAACAAATAAGGTCTGCTGTCCCAATGAACAGTGTGGACTACTATGGTGATATTGATGTTATAAAAAAATGCATTGTATTAACTACAATTGCATTGTACAGGTTATAACACTTAATTTCATATTAATAATGCTATTTATAATTATTCATAGTTTGCATCATATATTTACACCTATTATTATTTCATGTTATAGCAAGTTTCTAGAGACTAGATTATGGGTCTTTGTAAACTGTGTTTCTAAAGCAACTTTTGTTATTGACAAATGCCAATGTGTTTGCATTATTAAGTTTGTTATGAATAAAAAATCATTTTAAGTTAGAGTTTAATAATTATTTCACTATTAATATTCTTCTTCTTATTGTATTTCACTATTAATATACTTTCTTAAGTGTATTTCAGTTCAACAGTTACTTTGATAAAATACATATTTTGTTCTGTGCAAATGGCTTTTGATACCTTTTAGGTCCATAAATTACCGTATAGCATATATTCAACACAAAAAGCAGTGACAATTTGTTGTTGACAAAGGACAGCTGGACATATAAAGGGCCCCATTACCTTCAGCAACCTAGGGCCTCATCAAACCTAAATCCGGCCCTGGGCGCCACTGACAATATCCATTAACACAATCACCATGGTTTCCCCCAATGAATCCTGGGAACACTGGAATTTCAATCTCTCTCCGTTTCTCATATCCCCCATCTTAAGTTCAATTCATCTGAATCAGTCTGCATTTTTTTTTAAAAAAAAGATATAGGCCCATCTCATCTATATAGGTGAAGCATCATTAAAGGTAAAGGTAAAGGTACCCCTGCCCGTACGGGCCAGTCTTGACAGACTCTAGGGTTGTGCGCCCATCTCACTCAAGAGGCCGGGGGCCAGCGCTGTCCGGAGACACTTCCGGGTCACGTGGCCAGCGTGACGAAGCTGCTCTGGCGAGCCAGAGCCGCACACGGAAACGCCGTTTACCTTCCCGCTAGTAAGCGGTCCCTATTTATCTACTTGCACCCGGTAGTGCTTTCGAACTGCTAGGTTGGCATGCGCTGGGACCGAACAACGGGAGCGCACCCCGCCGCAGGGATTCGAACCGCCGACCTTTTGATCGGCAAGCCCTAGGTGCTGAGGCTTTTACCCACAGCGCCACCCACGTCCCTGAAGCATCATTAGGTAAAGGTAAAGGTACCCCTGCCCGTACGGGCCAGTCTTGACAGACTCTAGGGTTGTGCGCTCATCTCACTCTATAGGCCGGGAGCCAGCGCTGTCCGCAGACACTTCCGGGTCACATGGCCAGTGTGACAAGCTGCATCTGGCGAGCCAGCGCAGCACACGGAATGCCGTTTACCTTCCCGCTGGTAAGCGGTCCCTATTTATCTACTTGCACCCGGAGGTGCTTTCGAACTGCTAGGTTGGCAGGCGGAAGCATCATTAGGCTGCTTTAAATAATTATGGATATTTAAAGTCCCCAAAGAATGGTAACTGCAGTTTGTTAAGGGGGCAAAAAGTTGTTAGGGGACCCCTATTCCCCTAGAATTACAATTTCCAGGGTGCTTTAACAATCAACTGTTTAACAAACATGGGAACTCTGGAAATTGTGGCTTTGAAAAGGTGACTAACTGCAGCTTCCAGAAAAATATACAAGGTCCCTACCACGCTCATGTCTGATGTCACAGAAATTGCTTTGAGGGGACCTGCACATCTTTTCCTGTAATTTTACTTCCAAAATGGCTAGAGATTCTGGGTTGCCCCAGCCACTCTGAGCGGCTTCCAACATATGTAAAAATACAATAAAACATTAGACATTTAAAAATGTCCCTATACAGGGTTGCCTTCGGATGTCTTCTAAAGGTTGTATAATTAATTATCTCTTAGGCTCAGGGGTTGCATAACTGCATACCCTCCAACATTTATCAAATGAAAATAGGGAAATCCTAGGGAAAAGTGGGACATTCTGGGACTAAATCGGAAACCGGTGAGCTTTTGTAAATCCGGGACTGTCTCTGGAAAATAGGGACACTTGGAGGCTCTGTTATAGTTGCTGTTTCTTTGTATTTTCATTTGTTTAAAAATGCTGTATATTTAAAAACAGAACGAAAAGGAAATAAGGCCCACTTTTCCCCCCAACGAGATTCCTTCCCAAGCCAACGGAATACAGTGAACAATTCCCGGAGGGAAGAAATGGAAGGAAAAAATGAACATGTTGTGTAATGAGCTGATTACAGAGTTGGCATCCTGACAAGGTTTGGCTTATTAAAGCAATTTTAGACTATGATGGAAGCAGCAGATTTTGATCATGGATAATTGAGACATTAAGTGTGAAGGGGCGTTTCTTAACCATTAGGGACTCTGTGAGGATGGTATAAAAGCTCTCCTTCTTCCACAGTTCACCAACAGCTTCACCTCTCATCATCTCTCAACTTCCCACTCATCAAAACAACACAGGTAAGCTTGGCTTGTCCAAGTCCTTGCAGAGATCAAATGGGTAAAAGCTAGAGGAAGGTCAATCTTGGTTGGACATAGCACAGTTTGTAGGAAAGCAGGGAGCATAGGAAGCTGCCTTATATTGAGTCAGATGATTGGTCTACCGAGCTCAGTATTGTCTACACTAGGAGTGGGAAACCTTTGGTCCTCCAGAGGTTGCTGAACTGTAGCTCCTGTCATCCTTAGCAAGCACGGCCAATGGCCAGGGATGATGGATGTAGTAGTTCAGCAGTCCCTGGAGAGTAAAAGATTCCCCACAGCTAGTCTACATTGGGTTCCACACTGGGTGTATCTGTCACCCCTACCTGAAGATGCTGGGTGTTGAACTAGGGCCTTTTGTATACAAAGTAGATGCTTTAAACAGAGCCAGAATCCTTCCCCAAAGAAACCGATTGGTTTGATGAAGGAAGCGATTTACTAGAGAGTTGGGTAGTCAATATCTCCTGCACTGGAGGTCTGGATTGCCTGCATCAAACCAGGGAGATAGGAATTGATGGTGTAAAAAAGCTACAGTTCTGTGATTCTTTATGGAGAGCTTTTAGAATAGTTACACTGATTCATCTCGGAAGAAGCTCCAGTTTGCTCCCATTTACAGTGGTACCTCAGGTTACAGACACTTCAGGTTACAGGTGCTTCAGGTTACAGACTCCACTAACCCAGAAATAGTACCTCGGGTTAAGAACTTTGCTTCAGGATGAGAAGAGAAATAGTGCAGCAGTGGCACGGTGGCAGTGGGTGGCCCCATTAGCTAAAGTGGTGCTTCAGGTTAAGAACAGTTCCAAGTTAAGAACAGACCTCCGGAACGAAATAAGTTCTTAACCCGAGGTACCACTGTACTTATACCTGTCAATGAAGGACATGACGGGGAGATTTAAAATGCTAATGCACACTTATACTAAATCTCCATGGTGTATTTGTGCTACCTAGTTCCTTTGAAGTATATCTCTTAGACTTCCACACACATATCTAGCTCTTTTGAATTTCCAACGTCTTTCAACAGTTAGCTGGGGATTTAGAATGTCGCATTCTCAGCATGTTTTACCCTATATGCTGGAAAGTCTACCTATGATACAAACCTAAAACTGATTTAATATTTCTTCTCTCTTTGGAAACAGAGATGTAATTCTGTATGTGAGGGGGGAGAGATTTCTTCCAGAATCCTGATCTAAATGGCAGTATTGGGAGCTGCTATTGGATCAGGCAAATGCCCATCTAGTTCAGCATCCTCCTGTTCCCACATAGGCCAATCAGATGCCTGTTGAAAGCCTATCCATAAGATCCCTATGAAATGGCACTCTCCCCTTCTGAAGTTTCCAGCAGCTGGTATTCAGAAGCATGGTGCCTGTAACTAGTGAGGCAGAGCATAACCATCATGGTATTGGCTGTTAGAACATCTAGCTCAGAACTCCCTGCACCAGTGTTTCAACCTTGAGTCCACAGGTGTTGCTGAACTAAAATTACGTCCCTGCCTCTTTTCCCGGTTCTTCAGATACGGTAGTCAATTTCTGATACGCCACTTCTCTCCTCACTCCATGGGAACAATTGTCAAGAATAAAATGTCCCTAGTGGCCTCAAAAGACTGGCAACACCAGCTTCAGATCTAACCAGGGAGAAAATAAAGATGCTCAGTACATGGTCTGGGATATCCCTCTCTTGATATACTGTGCCACTGTGAATACATAGGGCTGTATTCCATGTTTCTCCATGTACTCCATGTTTTTCCATGTAGACCCATTTAATCAATAGACATGTCGACCCAGATTGGTAGTTGGATGCAACCCATAATTTTCATTGCTGTTGTGAATTACAATGTTTCTTTGCTATAATATGTGCCTGCCTATGTCTTTCCAGACTCAACCATGGCTAACTGTGGACCTTCCTGCGCCGTCCCATCTTGTGCTTCCACCCCAGTCGTTGGTTTTGGACCAGCCGGCTGTGGTTTTGGCGGTGGCCTTGGCCTTGGCGGTGGATTAGGCGGTGGATTCGGCTATGGTTCTGGCTATGGCTCCGGTGCCCTGGTTGGATCCGGCGTCCCTTCTGCCAGTCTTGGTATTCTTTCTGGAGTCCAGCCTTCATGCGTCAACCAGATCCCACCAGCAGAGGTCGTCATCCAGCCTCCGGCCGCCATCGTGACCGTCCCAGGACCCATCCTCTCTGCCAGCTGTGAGCCCGTGGCTGTGGGAGGATATGCTCCATGCTCCCCTGGTGGTTATGGATCCGGATTTGGTGGCGGATTTGGCAGAGGTCTCTATGGTGGTGCAGGTCTTCTGGGGTCTAGCTCTGGTGGTTTGGGGGGCCGTGGCCGTTATGGGTATGTGGGGCGTAGAGGCAGCATCTGCTATACCCCCTGCTAAGCTCTCACGGTCTGTCAAGAAGGAGGAAAGAAAAAGAGATCTGTGGTGGACTATTTCGGTCTGATTTTAGGTATGCTGAGCACCCAAACTCCCTAGGCAGTCCCAATGGGAGCTGGGAGAGTGTTCTGCATCCCTTGTAATCAGGCCCATCTAGAACATGCAGCTGTTTCCAGTTTAATTTTATCTCACTTTCCCCTGCTAGTTACTATGGTATTTATTTGCCTACGTCTCTTTGAAACACACCAGTTCGCATTGGGAAGAAAAGCACAAGATCCATTCACTATGTCTATGAAATTAGCATGCAAGTGTAAATATGTGTAATTGGGACTTAATGTAAAGGAAGGTGGAAAGAATGTTCTATAAATGTAGAACCCTCTACTCTACCTCCAACCTGAAAAAAATAATTCTAAAGGAGAAGCTGTTCACTGGAATGTGTTCTTTTTTGCTTTATTGTCTTCCAGTATGCTTAGTATTCACTTGAATACTTTTACTGTTTGAAATTCCCAATAAAACTTTTTCTGCATCATAGCACTGGCTTTCTGGTTTTCCTTTTATGTGGCAGCACAATGCCATACATGTGTATCAAGAAATAAGTTCCTTTCAATACAGTCCAATGCAACTTACTCAAAAGTAAGTCGTTTCAGGGTGACAACCTTAAGAACATAACACATATCCTCTTGGACTGGTTCAAGCACCCACCATCCTGTTCACAGTGCAGCAAGTATTTCCAGAACTTGCCATCTAGAGACCATCAGAACCCTTGAACATTGGAGGAGGTGAAAGGGATATCATGGGGGTACTTACCAACAGAGAATATTGATAAGGCATAGAACCAAGAAATTCAGAGAGGGGTATCAGTGTTGTTTTAAGATGGTCTGCTCAGCAATAGGGGGAAATCTTCAAATTTGGATTTGAGAAACATTTAATGAACATTCCATTCATTTCTTAGATTCTGTATATTCCCCGACCTGGCCACAGTGATCCATGCGACGGTCATCTCCAGGCTTGACTACTGTAATTTGCTCTACCCGGGGCTGCCCTTGAAGCTGTCCCAGAAACTCCAGCGGGTGCAGAATGCAGCAGCGAGGCTCCTCACGGGGTCTCTGCCATGGGAACATATTCACCCAGTGCTTTTCAAGCTGCACTGGCTCCCGGTGGAGTACAGGGTCAGATTTAAGGTGCTGCTTTTGACCTTTAAAGCCCTTCACGGCCTAGGACCCTCGTACCTACGGGACCGCCTCTCCCGGTATGCCCCACGGAGAGCCTCAAGGTCCATAAATAGCAACACCCTAGTGGTCCTGGGCCCTAAGGAAATTAGATTGGCTTCAACCAGAGCCAGGGCCTTTTCAGCACTGGCTCCGGCCTGGTGGAATGCTCTGCCTCATGAGACCAGGGCCCTGCAGGATCTGATTTCTTTCCGCAGGGCCTGTAAGACAGAGTTGTTCCGCCTGGCCTTTGGCTTGGAGCCAATTTGATTCCCTCCCTCCCTCTCTTTCTTTTTTCTTTTCCTTCTCCTCCTGCGATGAGGCTACATTTTAATATTTTAATGTTCCAATATTTTAATGTTGTATTTTATTTTTGTTTTTAAGTTGTAATCATTCATCTTGTTTTTATTATTGCTTGTAAGCCGCTCTGAGCCCGGCCTTGACTTTTTATTGGCTATTTATTATTGGCTATTTATTATTATAAATAAATAAATAAAAATAAATAAATAAATAATATTATTTATTTATTATTTAATATTATTAGCAATAATATAATAATAATAATAATAATAATAATAATAATAATAATAATAATAATAAATTATATTACATTATTATATCAAATTGATTTACTGATACCAAATATGTATAAAAGTTGACCACTGTCTTTTTAGCCTCAAAGGATTTAACCAATTGTTCTAATACCTCTGTTGTCTATGATGCCAGAAGTCTGCCAAAGGCCTGAGAGACATAGCTGTCAACTTTTCCCTTTTCTTGCGAGGAATCCTATTCAGAATAAGGGAATTTCTCTTTTAAAAAGGGAAACGCTGACAGCTGTTCTGAGAGAAGAGCAATAGAAGATATGGCAGAGGGCTGGTGCAGATACTCTGTTGTTGTTTTTTAAATACAATTTATTGATTTTATAATGACACAAAAAAGAAAAACACACACTACAAACATATCATAAATTTTAACTCAATTGACTCCACTTCCCCTCTTGGTTCCATTCTTATATGCTTATTCATGCACGTCTGTTAAACATTATACAGTGGTAATAATAATAATAATAATAAATTTTATTTATACCCCGCCCTCCCCAGCCCAGGCCTGGCTCAGGGTGGCTAACAAGCAATAATAAAAACAAGTTTAATGAATACAACTTAAGAACAAGATTAAAATACAACATTAAAATATTGAAACATTAAAATATCAATGTTTTATTAATGGTACCTTGGGTTACAAACACTTCAGGTTACAAACACTTCGGGTTACAAACTCTGCCACCCCAGAAGTAGTACCTCGGGTTGAGAACTCTGCCCCAGGATGAGAACGGAAATTGTGCGCTGACGGCACGGCGGCAGCAGGAGGCGCCATTAGCTAAAGTGGTACCTCAGGTTAAGAATGGTTTCAGGTTAAGAATGGACTTCCGGAACGAATTAAGTTAGTAACCCAAGATACCACTGTATTCTTAACAGTCCAATGTTAAAACCTTACTCACCTTAATACAAGTGATTTTTGTAAGTTTTACTAATGTGGAAGTCTATACACAACACTTGAAAAATATGCATTAAACATTTCACTTTTTTAATATCATGGCTTCTGGTTTTTTTAAAACAAAAAATCATTTTCAACATTGTCTTCAAGTCTTTTATGTCATTTCCCAGGCCTTTTTGATAACTTTACATTACCACCACATATAGTAGCCTTTCATACAATTTGCCCCCCCTTCCTGTTTCATCTTCATCACAGTCAAAGCCTCCCAAATTTATTCACACGGGATGCCAGTTTTATCTTGGACCACCCTTACTGATCCTTGCATTTTCCTCGAACCTCATTCCTCTACAATTCCCACCTTAGTGGTTTTTACATTCCCCTCTTTAAATTGTTCCACTGCCTCTGAAAGTAAATCGGGTTTTTTTTTTTTTCAAATTTGAGAAACTGCATTATTAACATTTTCCTTCTTCTGCCATTTCTAATCTGGTATGGGGGGAGGGGGAATTCTCTCCCTGTTTCCCAGCTTCCTCTACATTGTTAAATTTCAAAACAAAGAGTCCTTTCCACCAAGGAAAGTGTTATTTTTAACTTTATCAGTACTTGGTCAAAGTCATTTTGCTATACAGTGGTACCTCGGGTTACATATGCTTCAGGTTACATACACTTCAGGTTGCAGACTCCGCTAACCCAGAAATAGTGCTTCAGGTTAAGGACTTTGCTTCAGGACGAGAACAGAAATCGTGCACGTCAGCAGCAGGAGGCCCCATTAGCTAAAGTGGTGCTTCAGGTTAAGAACAGTTTCAGATTAAGAACGGACCTCCGGAACGAATTAAGTACTTAACCCGAGGTACCACTGTATTCAGTAGAGAAAACCAGTACAGTGGTACCTCAGGTTAAGAACTTAATTCATTCTGGAGGTCCGTTCTTAACCTGAAACTGTTCTTAACCTGAGGTACCACTTTAGCTAATGGGGCCTCCCGCTGCCACCGCACAATTTCTGTTCTCATCCTGAAGCAAAGTTCTTAACCTGAGGTACTATTTCTGGGTTAGTGGAGTCTGTAACTTAAAGCATCTGTAATCTGAAGCGTCTGTAACCCGAGGTACCACTGTACTTCTAACCTCTTCCCTCCCCTCCTCCCACATTGCTCACAGATACAAAATTTAACAATTATATATATTCAAATCTTAGCATTCCTTCACACCAAAGCAATTTTTAGTATCCAATATAAATAAAACTGTGTGGTGGCGCAGGTGGCGCTGTGGGTAAAAGCCTCAGCGCCTAGGGCTTGCCGATCGAAAGGTAGGCGGTTCGAATCCCTGCGGCGGGGTGCGCTCCCGTTGCTCGGTCCCAGCGCCTGCCAACCTAGCAGTTCGAAAGCACCCCCGGGTGCAAGTAGATAAATAGGGACCGCTTACCAGCGGGAAGGTAAACGGCGTTTCCGTGTGCTGCGCTGGCTCACCAGATGCAGCTTTGTCACGCTGGCCACGTGACCTGGAAGTGTCTCCTTATAAATAAAACTGATTTTTTATTTTAAATCCGATTTAGTCCAATATTAGCTATGGGTATTATAGTCCTCTTCTTTCAATCTTGATTTTTAAGCAGCTGGTGCCTTTTAATAAAATAAGTCCACAATTCTAACTCCATTAGGTTTGGTATCTTCACTGACTCTGAAAAGCCCAGAAACTCTTTCCCAAAGGTAAAAAAAAATCAGAGAGTCAGTCCTGTCTTTCTTCCAGAGAAGAAAATTATAGTATTCTTCCATTAAATAACACTGTAATCCCTCTCAGGTTTAACCTCCATTTTCAGTCAAGTTCATTAGCGCCATAAGATAAGTTCAGGTTCAAATTGAATTCAAGTCAAGTTTGCTTTTTTAAAAAAATGAGATTGATATAAACCAGCCTTTCTCAACCAGTGGGTCCCCATACGTTGTTGGACTACAACTCCCATCACCCCTAGCTAGCAAGGCCGGAGCTCAGGGATGATGGGAGTTGTAGTCCAACAACATCTGGGGACCCACAAGTTGAAACGAAAGCTGTGTAAAACCTTTTAGTCCTTATTGTTCATTAGTTAACTTGTCTACCAAAGTAAACTTCATCAGCACTTCACTTGTATGGGTTTCGTGCTCGAAGACCCGAAAAGGGGAGTAGACTTCCTTTTCCCCCTCCCGCTTTGCTGAATTAAATTAGTCAAATTAAACTGATCCTCCTCCTCACCTTTCAATTGGCTCAATGTATTGGAAAGGTAACTGCTCGTGGCTAGATCAGAGGCTATGGAGCTGCGTTGGTGCATAGCTCACCGGT